CCATTCCTCCCAAGCTGGGGATACAGCAGTGTAGGAAATCACCAGCAGGAGGCATTTCCTCTGCCTCCTGATTGTCTGTAATCATTGCCAATAGGAACAGCCAGGGGTGGTGCCTGGGAGCAATGGGGGATATGGAGCCATGTGCATTCCTGGGGAGCTGTGCCAGGAAAGTGCCTCCCCATCACCCAGACCTTGAACTCCCACCTGCTCCTGCAGCCCCTTCAACCAACTTCTGGGTATTTAAAGGCTTAAGGGAATTTCAGAGCTTTTTTTTTCCATTAATATTTTTAAAGACCAAACTCCAGACTTGCAATGAATCTGAAAGTAACGTTTAATGCTCAGAGAAAGGATCCAGGGACAGATAGGTGCAATATGAGAAAGCAAATAGTGAGGAGCAGAAACAAGGCACTGTGTGTGCCAGGATAAATTATCAGGCAGGAGTACTGACTAGTGCCAACTTCTTGAGAGTAAACCAATTTGTTCTTTTTCAAGTGATCTTCCCACATCTACTACTTATGAAATAAAGATAAGGAATGGAAAAGAAAGATCATTCATAGAAATGTATCCTCTTTTTCACATTTATCCATTGTTGTTGCTGGTTGTTAATACTTTTGACAATCTATTTCCTTGTCTATATATGGATTTAGGAGCGTACATTTTGGCACCTATTTTTAAAAATATTGGTCCCAACTTCCAGTTCTTTCATAAATCATTACCCTCTATCCACTCCCAGTATTCTCCTACCTTGGATGGCCCCCTTTCCCTTATCCCCAGAAAAAGGAAGATCTGAGCAGAGTGTCATGTAGTAGAAACTAGAGCCTCAGGCAAAGTAGTTTGGTATAATCTCCAGAGTATTCTTCAATGTTTATCCCTTTTCCCAGATCATTTATGAATATATTGAACAGCACTTGTCCTAGAACAGATCCCTCAGGGACACCACTGTTTACCTTTCTCCATTCTGAAAACTGACCATTTATTCCTTCCCTTTGTTCTCTATTTTAAACCAATTACTGATCCAGGAGAGGACCTCCCCTCTTATTCCATGACGTCTTATTTTACTTAATAGCCTCTAGTAAGGGGCCTTGTTAAAGAATTTCTGGAGATCTTGCCAGAGGAGGATGTGAAGACTAGGAATTTAACAGGGTTCAAAAGAGAGCTAGATAAATTCATGGAGGTTGGGTCCTTCAATGGCTATTAGCCAGGATGGGTAGGAATGGTGTCCCTAGCCTCCGTTTGTCAGAGGCTAGAAATGGATGACAGAAGAGGGATTCGCATGATGATTACATGTTCTGTTTACTTCCTCTGGGACATTTGGCATTGGCCACTGTTGGAAGGCAGGATACTGGACTAGATAGGCCTTTGGCCTAACCCAGTATGGTCGTTCTTATGTTCTTAGCTAAATATATTATATCTACTGCATCACCCTTACCCACATGCTTGCTGATTTTCTCAAAGAATTCTAATAGATTAGTGAGGAATTATATTCCTTTACAAAACCCATGTTGATTGTTCCCCAATAAATCATGTTTAACTATGTGTCAGATAGCTCTGTTCTTTATAATTTCAACCAATTTGCCCAGTACTGAAAGTAAGCTTACCAGCCAATAATTGCTAGGATCACCTCTGGCAAATGGTTTATCCACTCCCCAAACTTGTCTGGAAAACACATTCAAGCTGTAACTTCAGCTTATGTTTAAAACTGTACATGGGGGCTACATCTAGACTGGCCCCTAATTCCGGAAAAGTCATGCAAAGCAGGTAAGTCAGAACAGGGAAATCCGCGGGGGATTTAAATATCCCCCGCGGGATTTAAATAAACATGGCCACCGCTTTTTTTCCAGCTTGGGGAAAAGCCGGAAAAGAGCGTCTAGACTGGCGCGATCCTCCGGAATAAAGCCCTTTTCTGGAGGATCTCTTATTCCGGCTTTTCCCCAAGCCGGAAAAAAAGCGGCGGCCATGTTTATTTAAATCCCGCGGGGGATATTTAAATCCCCCGCGGATTTCCCTATTCTGACTTGCCTGCTTTGCATCCCTATTCCATAATAGGGGCCAGTCTAGACGTAGCCAGAGAGTAAAAACAATCCAATATGGACAAGAAAAAGCCATAAAGGAGAAACAGTATAAAACAGAATATCAACACTGGAAACATGAAATTAATATTATTATACTGTCAGATAAAAGTGATGTGAAACTGGAGATACAATGGAAAGAACATTACAAAGCAATATAATCATTCCCCAAAGAAGTATGGCAAACCCAGGAAATTCAGAGATCCTTACGGAAGAAATCCAAATATGTTAAAATACGGAAATTCACATGTAAGGTACCTGAACTCTCTGTAATTTTTTGACATTTTTGTTTGATTGTCTTTTTTAGGCAAACACTGGCATTTGTTTACAAGCCCCAATATTATGTTGGCTTTTTTGTGTAATCTGACACTTTCATGAACTCCCTACATCTTTAATACTTGACATGGATTAACAGTAATGGAGTTAATATGCATAACCAATGGTGTTCAAATCTTCAGACCTGTGAGCTCCAGACCTTTGACTTCTCAAAGTATTGCTCTCTGGTTAGTGCCACTGTGATGCATCCATTCTCTGAAGCACCTGTAGTGTTGTCATGATTGCTACCTCTCTAGTTAAGATTGGCAATATTGCAAATTAAAAACAGAGCTGCAGAAAAGCAGAACAGAAAATAGATAAATTGTCCTTGGCATAAACATAGTTTTTATTTGAATCTCTTCTTCTTAAAGATTTAAACATGCTTCTATTTTTTCCCCTCTAGCAATATTTCCAAGAATTCTCTAAAAACTGTCTTGCTGCAACTTGAATGTCATTTTACGTGGACTTTGCTGAAGGATGATGTTGATCTTGATGATTTAGAGGAAACAATTTGTGCTCAGATTGAGTTTCTAATCACAAAATCCAAAATCACAAATTATAATCTCCTCTCTTATGTGAAACACATGAAAGGCAACAGCAAGGAAGCCCTGGAAAGTCTGCAAAAAGCTGAAGAAGAAGTTCAAACAACTTATGGAGATGAGGTTGACAGGAAAAGTCTTGTTACCTGGGGGAACTATGCATGGGTCTATTACCACATGAACCAATTTCAAGAAGCTCAATCCTACATAGACAAAGTAGAAAGCAGCTGCAAAAAGTTGTCAAGTGCATCTCGTTATAAGATTCAGCTCCCTGAGATCTACTGTGAACAAGGGTGGGCACTATTAAAGTTTGGAGGAAAGTATTATGAAAGAGCAAAGAAATGCTTTGAGAAGGCACTGGAAGAAGAACCCAACCATCCAGAATTTAATTGTGGATATGCAATTGCTGTGTATCGCCTGGAAGATTTTTTTGCAAAAGGCTCTTCTGGTGAGGACTCCTCATTGGAACCTTTAAGACGTGCAGTAAGTCTGAATCCAAATGACACTTTTGTTATGGCACTTCTTGCACTGAAACTTCAGGACATAGACCAAGTTGAAGAAGGGGAAAAGTATATCAAAGAGGCATTGCTAAAAACCCCAAATCTTCCCTATTTATTGCGATATGCTGCAAAGTTTTACAGAAGAAAGGGACTAGTGGATAAATCACTGGAGTATTTGAAAAAGGCATTGGAATTTACACCAACCTCTGGTTTCCTACATCATCAGATAGGTCTTTGCTACAGAACACAATTGTACCAAATGAAAAAGGCTACAAAATATCCACCTAAAGAACAGATGGAGCAATTGATTCGATTATGCATTTTTCATTTTAAAATGGTAGTGGAACAAAAATCTAAGTTTATGTATGCCCATATTGACCTTGCAATGATGTATGCAGAAAGAAATGAGTATCAAGAAGCGGAAGACATCTTTCAAAAAGTATTTAAGATGGAGAAACTTACTTGTGAAGAGAAGCAACAACTCCACTACCGCTATGGACGCTTCCAAGAATTTTACAAAAAATCTGACTCTGAGGCCATTAAACAATATACAAAAGGACTGAAAATTGAGAGAGACTCTCATGAAAGAAGCCTATGTAAATATGTTTTGAAAAAATTAATAGAACGGAGAATTCAGAAAGGCTGCGCAGATGCTCAGAATTTTGGTATTCTTGGATTCATTCACCAGCTGAATGGGGAGAAGCCTCAAGCAATTGAGTGTTATGAGAAAGCCCTGGCATTGGATCCTGATAATGAAGAATACTTGAGCGCTCTCTGTGAGATACGACTTTCCATCTAAAACTTTAACAGCCAGCAGAGAATCCATCTATGTAGCTACCCAATATTTGTATTTTAAAAATTCTGTATAACTTCCTGCATTATTTTTATGGTAGCCTGAATTCCTCACTTATACAATACTTGCATTGGGACTAGGCCTATTGTTTGGACATTACTTGCTATCATGTTGGGAAGAATTTGTAATCCTACTTTACATCCTCTCTCACACCTGTGAGCTATATTTATGCTGATAACCAAGAAGTATCCTGCAGTGCATGAGGTGAAAGTTGGTAGCATCACTTGCTAGTGATCATGTAAAACCTGGAAAATGATGTTTTCTAACTTGCATATCGCCAAGTATTATGATTGAAGAAAACATATAATAGTAAATCTGTCTTTTGGTTCAATTTAAGATTTCTGTAGAGGTCTGTTTTTGTTTTCATTTATGCTCTTAGATACATAGCTTCAGCCTGACTCCTCAGAACATGTAGCACACTGGGGAAAACAGGAGGGTTACAATTTATCAAGTGTATGTGAGTTGTGAGTTCACACTGTTTCAAGACATCGGATAATTCCAGCCTATAAGGGCAGGAAATAATAATGATATGCACTGGATATTACCAATGGGTTTTATAGTTTTGGACAAAGTGAATTTATATTGTTATTAAAATGCATACTTTGGAGCTATATTCAGAACTCAGTAAAGGTTGTGGATTTTTTGTGAGTTTGGGGAGGCTATAAACTTGCTTAATTGACTGTGTTTGTGGTAATTGTTTAACTGTGAAGAAAGAAGAGTCCTGCTTATATCTTTTTCCAATTAGACTCTGATAAACCATGTACTACTTTCACTTTGCTGATTTTTGTAAATTATTAAACTGCATTGCATCAATTAAATCTTGATATAAAGGAGTTAAAGGAGAAGCTCGTACTTGATTGCCTAGTAACTAATAGCTAGTTTTAGTAGTTTTACTAAACTACTGAACTGTGCATAGAGAGCATCTTTCTAGTTCCACTACATCCTACAATCTTGGGCATGTGCACATGGATAGAAGGTTGAGAGTCATGCACAGAGGAGGGGGTGACAGAGCACAGGGCCCATGCAAATGGGGACGGGCTGACAGCACATGGCACGGATGCATGAGAAGGGCAGTGACCAAACACGGGACATGCTCTAGAGCTATGGTCACCAACCCATTGATCGCGATCGACCGGTCAATCTTGGGGGCCCAACCAGTCGATCTCGAGGCTTTCGGGGGCCCTTCCTCACTGCCCTCCACCCCCAAGATGAATACCGCACTGATGCTACCTCCAGGGACAATGGAGGTAGCGTGGGCTTCCTGTGGGGTGGGGGGGAGTTCTTCAGCTGTGCGCCAGGTCCCGGAAGTGTGCAAGCCACTCTTCCTCCCCCCCCAACAGCCAGCGCAGTACCTAAAACACTGGTCCATCATGCACTGGGGACTTTGTTCCCCTGCTGCCTTCCTGCGCGTGGGAGAGGGGGTGGTGGTCCGGGATTGCGCCTGCTCGGGCAGTGTGCGCTGCTGTGGGGAGTGGAGGAGCAAGGCATGTGCCGCCTGAGCAATTGGAGATGGCATGGTCTGGGACTCCTCCTCCGCTCCCACACGCAGGGAGGCAGCAGGGGAACAAAGTCCCCAGCGTGCCAGCTCCAGGTGCTTGGGCAGCACACACTGCCTTGGGGAGCAGAGGAGCAATTGGGGCTGGTGTGGTCCGAGATTCCCCTTTCCCCCGCACCTCCCCCTGCAGGAAGGCATCAGGCATACAACAGACCAGCATTTCAGGTACCGCGCTGCTCTTTGGGGGACGGGGGAGCAGCCCATGCGCTTTCTGGGCCTTGGAGCACAACCCCATGCGGCAGTAATGGCCACACTCCCTAGAAGGGGCAGCCTTGCTCTGGGGAGTGTGGGGGTGGAGGGGCAAAGGGGCATTGAGTGGGGGCATGCTGGGGTCACAGGGCAAGAGGGTGTTGACATGGATTGTAGGGGTCAGAGGTTAAAGGGTCAAAGGGCATGATGCGTAGGGGTGGGGGTCAAAGGGTGTTGGGCACCAGGGAGCAAGAGGCTGGGCTGGGGCTATGGTTTAAGTGGGAAGGGCTGGGGTTGAGGGAGGGCAGGGGTTAGAGGTCAAAGAGCAAGAGAGGGTGGGTTGCAGTGGGTCAGGGGGGGGGTTTTCATTGCCCTTGTGTGGCCGCAACTGACTTGTCTGTGGGTCAGTGACTCCAGACTCAAAACAGGTTCCTTACCCTTCTCAGAAATAAAGACAATGCAGAAAATTTTTTTTTTGACATAGTATTTTATTTAAAAATGAAGCCTGGCTAACAAACCACCAGTTGTGGCCAAGCCCCCATCTGGCCACAGCATCATAACACTCCTGCACTCCCCCTTCCCCTAGACCCTAGATCTGAGCCTATCATACGCTGGAACCCCCTGCCCTAAGCCCCGCACATACCCCAACCCAAATTCCTGAACCCTCACATCCACAAGCCTGTGGCGCGTTGGTACCCCAATGTACATCTGACTGCCACACCCCTTTTCCACCATTCACACACTGCAAATCTGTGTCCTGAGCCCATCATACTCCCAACCTCTCTGCCCCTCACACCCCCAACCCAAACTCCTGCACCCTCACAGCCACAAGCTTGTGGTTTGCTCAGCATCCCAACCCTTCACCTGAACCCAACACTCCCCAGCCTGGAGCCCCCTCCCTGAGCCAGCATCCCCTTCTCCACATCCTCCTGCATCCAAATTCCCTCCCAGAGCTTGCACCTCTCACCCTTTCCCACACCTAAATCCCTCATTCCTACCCCAGAGCCCACACATCCTGTCTCAACCCAGTGAGGCTAGACTGCAGGAGTTTTTCTGGCAAACATGCTCTTTTGGCAGCCCCCGTATTCCTTGTTCCACAAGGAATGAGGGGGCTTCCAAGAGAAGGGTTTTTTTTCCAACAGTTGGCCCAGGCTAGACGGGCTAAATGTTGGAAAATTTCTTCCAACGGAAGGATCAAAAAAAAAAAAGCAGCAAGGTAACCATACCCTGAGAGTGTATAAGGGCCAGAGATAGCAAGTGATGGAGAGAAGGGGAACAGAGAAGGCGGGACCTCGAGGAAGGGGTGGGGTTTTGGGAAGGGATGGGGTAGATCTTCGCTTGTCCTGACATTGAAAAGGTGATCTTGGGTGTAAAAGGGTTGGAGACCACTGCTCTAAAGAGACGGGAGTGACCGAAGACAGGTTGCTAAAAAAATGAAGATGTGGAATGTATTTCATCTTGTGATTGCAAAAAAGAACCTAATTGTTTTAAGTCTGATGGCCAAGGGGCAAAGCTTGTACAGTGTGACACTTATACATTCCACTACTGTGTCTTGGCCAATGGGATGACATGTGATGCTCCATATATAGAGCCCTGCACAGATACAAAATTTGTGTCCACATCTACAAAAATTAGCTACGGATATCTGCAGCCACAAATACAGGTACCTACAAATATAAAGTGGATATCCATGGATTTGCAGGGCTCTATCCATATAGATAACTGTAACGGGGTGGCGCCCCGCCACCTCCGTTCATCCCTCAGTGTTCCCTGCTGCCTCTGCAGCGCTGACACAGCTGCGATTTCAATCCCCCATAGCCGGGGGGCTGGGATAGGGGGGTCCGGGCCCTCCCTCTCTCCCGGACCCCAGCCCAGGTGCCCGGGTGGGGGTGGGGGGGTGCTGGCCCGCAACTCTCCAGCACGCTGGCTCCTTGCCCTGCCCTGGGCTACTTCCTATCTCCTCCCAGGGATCACCCTGCCCTAATCCTGGTGTCCCCGCTCCGTCTCTCCCAGCCTCCGGCTCGTCTCCGGGTGTCCGAACCCTCCGCTGCTCACCCCGCTTCGCTCCCCCCCCACTGCTCTCCACCTTCCTCCTCCTGCTCTCCACCTTCCTCCCTCCCACCGGAGTCAGCCAGCTTTTTGAAATGCCCGCGACGGCGTGCGGACGTGATGACATCCCACATCACGTACGCAGGCTCCTCCTCTCTCACCCTTTGCCAGCTCCCGGTCAACAGGATCCCTGGGCGCGGCGGCTGAGCACGCACCGCATGTCACCCCCGGGTCTCGAGTCGCCCCGAAGAAGGTCAGGGCGACCGCTGGTTTAGTGCGGGGCAGGCTCGCCTCCCCGGGGGGGGCCGACCTGCTCCGTCACAATAACATACTACATTTCCAAAGCAAACCCCTTCAAGAGCATGTAGTGAAAGAAGCAAAAGCTATTTTATTATCTTCAATTTATAATATTTCTCTTAGATCGCAGGCAACAGAAAATGCAGTCAGCCTCCTAGTCATACCACCAAATAGCCACATAATTAAGTTCCCAAATCACTCATATCATTAAACAGTGCTTCACATAGTTATTGAGGCATAAATATTACTTATTAAGTATGAAAAACTCTGGTTTCAGAGGCACACAGAGAATTCTCACTCGCTGCACTATGTATTGGCGGTGCGGCTGATCTCTGGGAAACCCAAATGAAGCCAAAGGGAATTTACAGTGTGATTCTGGGACATGAAAACTCCCTTTCTCAAAGAATCTCTCACAAAATTGAAAAAACCTTAAAAGCACAATGAATAGTCCTGTAGCACTTTAGAGACTAACAAAAAAATGTAGACGATACGAGCTTTCATGGGCTCATGATACCATCTGTATTTTTTGTTAGTCTCGAAGGTGCTGCAGGACTATTCATTGTTTTATATGTTTTTTCTATTAGAGACAAACACGGCTACCCCTCTGAAACTCACAAAATTGATGTTCTCCGTCCCACACCCACACGGGCATAAAGGAATAAGAGACATACTACACTTCCACAGCTTCTCACTGAAAAGCGAGAGGGAGGAGGCTTTTCTTGCTTTTTATAACTAAGGTTTCCTCCATTTCTATAAACAAAGGTGACTCAAAACAGGTGACAGAGATAGGGAAGGGACTCCTTGTGGAGAAAAGAAGGTGGGGAGGGGGAAGAGAGGGAAAGTGTGTCACATTCACATCCACAAAATAGTCTATCCCTCCACCACTTCTTTCCCTCTCCCAGTTTGAAAACTGCTGGGAACAAGAGCAGATGAAGCCAGGAACCACTGACTCTCTTGAGCATGATCCCTATCTTGTTTCACAGATAAGAGAATGAGATATTTCATACTAGTAACAATGTCTTCTGTTAAATTTTTTGTGCAGCTTTTTTACTGTGCAACAATGGTGGCATGGCTTCCACCTGAGCCATCCTGCTGGGGTATGAGGATGAAGGAGACAGCAGAGTAGTATTGAATGACCAGTCCTCCATCAGGCTGCCTTTTTACACTTGGAGGCTCCATTGGCTATAGTTCCTAGGGCTGTTGGTTCAGGAAGATTGTGTTCCTTTTTGCAGCTCCCCAAATTCCTGCTATGGGAGGAGTCAGTTTTCAGGAAACTTCTCAAGATGAGCCTGGAGGAAAGAAGAAGTAGGAATGCAGCTGTTTGTGGAGAAAGATCTTGGGCAGAAATTTCTACTGGAAGAAAATACAAGGCACCAAGTGCCTCTTAAATCTAGCAGAGAAAGACGTAACAAGAATCACATGCTAGAAGCTGGTGCTAGATCAGAGCTACTCAACACATGGCCCGCAGGCCATTTGTCTGTGGCCTGCGGGTGGGAGCCAAAACCAAAAAAGTAATCAATATAATGGTCTTCTGTTGATATGCGTTTTAGTAGTTAAAGTCCTGGACTGTCATTGCTCATTAAAAGTGCTGTCAGATGGATGGAAATTGGGTAAATATTGCATTTGTGTAATATCAGCAGAACTGACTTAAATGGGGCCTGTGTGTTGTGTAGTCTTCTCTTAATCTTTGTACTCATGCCCATCAGTGTGAAAGAAGCTATTTGCATACATATACAACGACAT